AGTATCTCTATATTAAGTAGTGTTATGAAAATGAAAGTCCAATTTGCTAGTTATTGCACAGAAAGTAATGCTATTCAATTAAGTAAAATTCTGATAACAAAACAAACAAATCTTACCAACGACACCTGTTGTTCCATCCCCAATCTCATCATCTTGCGATTTTGCCAATTCAACCATAAGTTTAGCAATCTGATGCTCCACATCCATCATATTCAAAATAGTAGCACCATCATTTGTTACTGTCACATCACCATCTTTGTCAACCATCATCTTATCCAGGCCTATAATAAGCATTTAAACAATAATATAATTAAAAAACCTTACAATGTAAAAAGCTTAAAAGTATACAGCATACATCATTTTGCTTACCATTGGGGCCAAGTGATGTTCTAAGTGTATTGGCTACTGCCTTGGCTGCCATTATATGAGACTATAAGAAAAACAAATATAAATTCAGCAGTTTCAAATACTAAAAATACTACATCTTTTGCACATGCATGCACACACAAACAAATCCAGACATTTTCAGGGCAGCTGCTTTTGCAACAGTCTTGCAAAAATTGTGCCCATTTAAATGTTTTGATAAGTGCTTTCTTCTTGCATGCTGTTAACCTCATCTGAATGATGTTCACAGCAATAATAGTGTTTGCCTAGTGACTGTCCATATCTTCTAGTATGCGTTATCATATTATCGGGAACAAAACAGAATTTTATGCTGCCAGAAACATCAAAAGTCACAATACAGAAATTACTCTCCCAGAAAAATATCAAAACTCAACAGGCCATTCCAGCTATGCAGACTATTTAAAAAAGATGGATTTGAAGATCTTGTGGAAAACAAAAGGACTCTTACGAATTCCAGAGGGTCTTAGTAGAGAGGTTTATTGCACAGGTTCAGAAACAATAGCAACCAAGCAATTCTGAACCCACCTAGTTTTATACTATCCTTTTTCAGGAACAAAGAAATACACATTGTAATATACATTGTAATACATTATGTTCACTTCTCATGGGTATACAATGGGTGGTTTGATACATACATTGTATCCATGCGCAATGTGCATTAGGTTAGTCACATACTACTGACACATCATTATTCTGATGATTGTTCATTATTCCACCTTAAAGATGCTAGAGGTACTTAAGATGATCCTTGACAATCCTTTTTCAAGTAGCTTATCACTGTCAGGACTCTTCCCCATGACCAAGTTAAAAGTGTTACGCACCCATCCATAAGCTTACAAAAAATATATCATTATAACTAATTATTTCTCTCACTGCTAATCCCTATCCTGTTACACTGATGATGCCAATGATGAGTTGTGAGGGCAAATTCAGGAAAGCAATTGGTCCCCCCCCATCTTTTTTCCCCTCCCCCAAATGTCAGAAGGCAAAGGAAAAGACGACACCGATCGCTTTGCTCATGGTGCTGAGAAGGATATACCGGTAGGTTTTGACACAGGGGGTCTATACTGTTTGTCCAAATTTGGCATCAAGACAAGTTGGGTCTGCAGAATCTGGGGGTGGGGGCCGTTCAGCAAACAGGAGGCGATCAGTTGCTGAGCTTGCAGCTGATCCACAAGGCGGCGGAGGCTACCCTGCAAAGACGTGACTCTGCTCTTTTCTACCACCCGTCTCTGCCCGGGCATCTGACTTCTAGGCTGCAAGGTTGCCATAAGCAACCGGTTACCTGACGTTTTAAGGAAACAAATCGGCACAAATTTAAACACAATCCTGCTAATCATAAGTCCCGCTGCACACGGTCGAAAACGCTGCTGCTCCTTTTCCCTTGTTCCAACAGAAATTCCACTCTCCCCCCCCACCCCACCCCCCACTCCCCAGGCCTCAAACAGCGTGTACGGGAGGGAATGTATTTTACCCACACAGCGATCTTCTGAGGCAAACTCAAGCTGAGAGCGAGGGGAAGGGCCCTGCCCGGCGACCCAACTCCACACCTCTGAACCTGAAATGTCCCGTTTCAGGAGCAGTGCCGGTGGGGCCGATAGAAGGCAGGGGACCGTTGCCCGATCCGTTTCCCGCCGCGACCGTTACCTTGAGGGCCTCCAAGCCCGTAGTGCGGGTCTTCCGCTCCTGGTCCTTGAGGATGAGGAAAGGCCGCCCGTATTCGTCAAAAGCTAAAGTCCCCATGGCCGACATAACGATGGTCGATCCCCCCGAAGGAAGACGCACGAGGCCACAATTCACTGCCAGAAAGAAAGAGAACCACGCTGTCCCGCCCCGCCTGAGGCAGTGTTCCCTTCTCGCGAGATTCACTCGCGGACAAGAGAAACGCATGCGCACTTTGCTTCTAGAATGTGGACCCCACTACATTCTAGAAGCATCTGGGTGGGGCGGGTATATGCGAGTGCGCAAGCGCATTAAAAGCGGGTATATGCGAGTGCGCAAGCGCATTAGAAGTATCGCCTCCCCTTCGGACCATAGAGCTGGGAAACACGCACACGCTGTGTTCATTCATTGCATTAAGCAACGATCCTATTAACAAACTATAGTGGCTTCATTTACATCTCCCATTAAGACAGTGTTTCTCAACCTCAGCAACTTTTAGATGAGCGGACTTCAATTCCCAGAATTCCCCAGCTTCTGAAGTCCACACATCTAAACGTTGAGAAACACTGCATTAAGACGTCAGTCGTGGCTGTACAGATGCTAATGTGTAGTCCTTTCCGAGACGCTGCCTTCGCAGTTCTAGCCTGTGGGAAATCTTTCAGCAAAACGCTATGCGTGCCTAGCTATGGATATGCACGAATGCGGGGGCCGCCTGGGTTCACACAGCTCACCAAGCCGAATTGAGAAATATACTAGTGCGGAATCTGAATAATTTCATCAATAATTTAGTCTTTATATAGATTACTCTGATTTTTCTCACTATTAGTTTGCCTTCCCGATGCACATTTCTGGAGTTGTGCTCATCTAAATCATATGCAGTGGTGTTAAAACGCAGCTAAAATTCAGAGACTAAAACAAAATTATAAATTTGAAAATTTGTTCATATTCACCCAAAGATGGAAGGAAACTGATCACAGAAAAAACAGGACACGTTCAGATTTTTAGGATTTACCTACAAGACTGCAGGATATTTTTAGCTAACCAACTTTTTCACATCTATAATTAGCTGAGTTTTGAACAGTACAACTTGTATAGAAATTAATGGCGCCCAGAAGGGTTTATTTTGTGCAGTTTGGGTCAAACGGATGTTTTTTGCAATGTAGAGATAGCAATTCAAGCTACTTCACAGACGATGACGGGTTATAACAAAACTGAGCAAAATACAGTGTTTTCAGTCATCGTTTTCTATCAGAACTGTACTAACATTAATTTTAATGTTAAGAAACTAAACAGTATTTTTAATTCAAAACGTGCCTTTTGGTTACATTTTTTTTAGGGAAAAGTATGCTGTTGCCAAGCACGTATAAAATCGTAATTTCTCATTAGCTTACCAACATTTCATTTTTACCCTGGGAAAGGGGCATCAGGCAAGACTCTAAAATAACTAGGCTCCAACTTCATGAAATATGTTTTCCGTCTTTGCATATTACACTGGTACTTCGGCTTGTTACAAAATTGATTTTCCGTTTATTTATTATGTGGGTGCATATAATGCACTTAATCTCAAACAAGCAAATCATGCGGTACATTCGTGTAGCACGACTGAAACACAGCTTTATGATGCGTCCACTTTTCTCTCTACGGGCTAGCTATTTGGATTTTACCCGTTTTATACAACGGAAGATACCCAGGATGACATAATTATTTTTAAAGCATAGCTTCCTTGGCTCTTTTTCATGTGGTGATGATGAGATCGGAGAAAGCATTAACAATCTTCGTCGCCCTATTTTCAATGCGGATCAGAAAAAGCGCTACTCTTTCGAAAAACACGAGTCCCCCTAATCCAGGGGTTAGGCAACCTTGGCTCTTTTATGACTTGTGGACTTCAACTCCCAGAATTCCTGAGCCAGCCATGCTGAGGGGAAAGGGAGAGGGAGCCAAGCTGAGCCAAGCTGGCTCAGGAATTCTGGGAGTTGAAGTCCACGAGTCATAAAAGAGCCAAGGTTGCCTACCCCTGCCCTAATCAAAATAATGGTATATCCACTTGAGCAGGAAGAAGTCTTTCCCGCGGTTTCCGCTATGTAGGAGCGGGCTTTCGGAGGGGCGGGGGCGGGTCGTTCTACGTCACTGTGTTCCGAAGCGGTGTGGCCAAGAGTGAAAGGGAAGGTAGGGAGCAATTTCATGGTTCTTGCTTGCTTGCTTCTCTGCCCAAATATTTAGAATTGCGGATTAATAATTTACAGATTAATAATTTTTTTCCCTCACTACTGTATTTTGTCCTCGATAAGGATACTATGATATACATTTCGTAAGCCAATGAGAACTTTCTGTTTTCGGTCACCAGCACTGTATCTTGGGCATTTTTTGCTTACTCTGATGGAATTGATTATGTGCCATCAAGTCCATGTCGATTCCTAGCGATCGCATACATACTTTTTTTTCATGATGATCTCTCCTCTCTCCGTAACCTGATTCCTCAGCTCTTCTAACCGCGCCCCATCACCACTTTCATTGAGTCTGTACAAAATATTAAATATGCAACATTTAATTGAAACCTCAAATCATTTATAAGAGATTTAAAAAAAAACATGTTCCTATCTATCTTTGCTTCTTCTAATCTGTTAAAATAAGATACCTTGCTTTAGCTTTTGTCTTTTTTTAACCAACTTTGCTCTAAAAACTATTATTGTTTTTGTTTTATTATTTTAATGTGTATTAGTTTTAATGTTTGTAAGCTTCCCAGAGTCAAGAGATGGGTGGCACATAAATAAATAAATACATGCATACATACTACATACAACTGACATCTTGAAATGTTTTGGAAGAAGGTAATGGCCAAACACTTCCATTATGTTGTCAAAAACAACAACAATATGTCTATTATTCAGCCAAAGTAAAACTTTTTATTTATTTAGAGCCAGTTTGGTCTGGTGGTTAAGAAAGCAGGAGATTGTGAGTTCAAGTTCTGCCTTACCAGCTGGGGGACTGCTGGTCACTGTCTCAGTCCAACTCACCTCACAGAGATGTTCTGGGGAAAATAGGAAAAACTTGTGTTAGATATGGGTAAATTAACTATGGCTTTACAAAGGTATTATATTTAATGGTAAATTTTTCAGTTGGCCCTGATAGCTACAGTAAATGAATTCTTGTTCATTCACCTCTCAATATTATTAGCTAAGGGACAAAATGGTGAGATTAGGAAATATGTGCCTGGATGCTGTTAGAAACCAAGAAATGAAAACCCAAGTAAAGGTTTTTTTGTTTAAATCAGGGACATAAATGTATAAATACTATCTATATTTTGTCAGACTAAACATACTACTTTCCTTTTTTAGGTTTTTTGTCTGTTATGTCAAAAATACTTGCTGAAAGCAGTGCAACTCAAGAAGTTACACTTTTGACGGCTGCTGATGAAGACTCTAGCAAAAGGACTTGGGGTGTTTTGCTCCCCGGTATAATTGGTGGGACATTAGTAGCCTTATATTCTGTGGCCATTCCATTTATTGCTCCAGCATTGAGAAAGCATTGCCTGCCATTTGTGCCTGCAACTTCAAAGCAGATTGAAAATGTTCTAATCATGTTGAAAGGCAGAAAAGGAATGCTAGTTGACATAGGAAGTGGTGACGGACGTATTGTAAGTTTAAATAGAATTGTGTTTAATGAAATAGTCTTCAGTGAAGTGCATCTTGACACACAACCCTTGTCTTAAATACATTCTTATATCTTTCTCAGGATAAGGATGGAATTTAAAATCATACACACTATTTAATGAAGCAACCTGCTATTGATACAAGCATCCAGCTCAGTATTATTCAGAAAGAGTAGCTTTTTAAATGCTTTTAGCTGGTAATGTTAACAATTGTTCTGGAGCTCTTAAGGCACGAAAGAAAAGTACTATAGCTCTCATTTATAAAATAGATCAATAGAATTCCTGGATTACAATATACGATCTAGTAGTCTTCTGGGATGCATTCTTTTGGCCTCTCTTTCCTTCCACGTTTCCTAGTCCATCATGCACTTGTAGTTAGCTGGGATTTAATGTGCATTATAATCTTAGAGCAAAATAAGGAAAGGGAAAAATGGGATCAAAACGGGAGAGCTACCTCATCTGATTTGGCTGTAAAACAAGAATAGATGGGATCAAAAGAAGAAACCTATTGGAGTGTAACTTTTACAGTCTTCTTGTGCTATTACAAGCCTAAACAGCTGCTCTGGGTTATGACCTGGCAATCCTCTTAGCCATGTGGGTTCAACTTTTTGTTTTGTTTGATGCAGAAATATTCCATACATGAAGCGAAGAGGAGCTTCATGCAGACTAGTGGGTAGAATGGTGGAGAGGGAATGGGTTACCGTAGTTTAATCATTTTCTACAAGCCTACTCTTATTTTCTTTGTAAGCCATTAGGGAAATCTCTTCCTTCATGACTACTGTGGAAAACAAGTAGGCTGGCTGGCAGAGGAGTTACAAGGCTTTTTTTTTTTTTAATTTATTTAACCAGAAGCTTGTAAATCTGGATTTTAATGTTTCCCCCCCAACCATTGCAGTCAATAAAGAGTATTAGCTTCTCAGCAGACTAATAATTTTTTTGCAGACTAATAATTTATACAGATTTATTAAAATTGCAGTAAGACTACAAAGTACAATAAATCTCTTACATTTATGATGAATCTGGCAAAATTAGGGCAAATTGCTAAGCCTATTTATTTGGCTGTCATATACGTACACACACACACACACAACATTTTATAATAAAACAGTTTTTAAAAATTAAATACTTATTTATCTTTACGCAGGTAATAGCAGCTGCAAAAGTTGGATTTAAAGCTGTGGGTTATGAATTAAATCCTTGGTTAGTATGGTATTCGAGGTACCGTGCCTGGAGAGAGGGAGTTCATCAAGATGTCAATTTTTACATTTCAGACTTATGGAAGGTATGCAAACGTAACAACACAGGATGCAAATCATCAGCTGTCTAGAGAAAACAAATATCTTACTGTGGCTTTTAATAGGTTTAAAATGCTTCTTACATCCATTAATATTTCTGCGGAGTAACTCAGTGGAATTACTGGGCTATATTTTTAAAACTGCTGCTATACAAATCAGTAGCAAAGTGGCAATCCCACTTCTCTTTCCCCATCCTTTTAATTCTATCTTAAGGTCACCTTAGATGTACTATTTATATAATAGATTACAGTTATTTGCTCCATTAATAAATAAGGTAGAAGGATTTATTCCTTTATCATTGCCCTCCCCACACTAGAGCCTCTGTATCCCTTACCAGGGGATTCTGTACCTGTCATCAGTATATGAAGGGAAAGATTTGTTCGGTACGAATAAAGGATTTTGTCCTGATAACAAGTGCCGAGTGCAGAAAGTTGTCCCTGAAAGCTTAGGGGAAAAGGATTGAACCCACTTGATCTAGCCACCAGGGTTTTTTTTATCTGATTGGCTTCCCTATACATGGATGTTCCTGAATGAAAAGTGCATTTATATAAATCCTTAAATTTGACATTATATTTCAAAACAGGTCAGTTTTTCCCAGTATGCAAACATTGTCATTTTTGGAGTTCCTCAGATGGTAAGTTTCCATTATTTAACCGCTAGACTGTCTAATTAAGAGATTGTGGAATCTTTGAGGTTTTTATTGATAGATTTGATAGAAAACTTTGTTCATCTTGCTTGGAGATTTGTTTGCTGCACATGCTTTAAAAAAGAGAGCGGGAGTGGCAATGTACATTAAAAGACATCTCACACCTATTTTAAAAGAAGCTGATAAAGAAGGAAGATATTTATTTGTGGAAATAAACTTAAATGGAAGAAAGTGTTTAATAATAGGGGTATATGCCCCTAATCAACTTGCAGCTCAAAAACAATTT